AGACTACCTAGACTAGTGATTGGGAAATGGAGTGTCACCTCTACCTCTCTGGTGAGGTACCAGCTAGATATAGTCAGGCTCACCACAGCGCACGGCTTGAACCAGTCTCCTGGAGAGGGCCTGAACTCTGTGTTAGACTGGAGTTGCCCTGAGTGAGTGAGAGGCAGAGGGCTGGGGTGGGTATCTTAGTATTCCCTCGGCTTTCTGTTTGTACGGTGGGGTTTTTCCTGGGAGACAAGATTGTTTGCTCCCTGCGCTTTGGGTCAAGGAATGGATGCTGACTGTTGTTTGCACTTATGTGCCAAACAGCGGTTGAGAGTACCGGGTCTTTTTGGAGTACCTTGGCCGGGGTGCTTGAGGGTGCTCTACCTGAGAACTCTGTCATCCTACTCGGAGACTTCAGCACTCATGTGAAGTCAGACAGAGAGACCTGGAAGGCCCTGACTGGGAGGAACAGCCTGCCAGATCTGAACCCAAGTGGTGTTTTGTTACTGGACTTCTGTGCAAACCACAGTTTGTCCATAACAAACACCATATTCGAACATAAGGGTGTCCATAAGTGCACATGGCACCAGGACGCTCTAGGCCGCAGGTCGATTCGGGATTTTGTAATCGCATCATCAGATTTGCAGCCGCATGTTCTGAACACTTGGGTGAAGAGAGGTGGTGAGCTGTCAACTGATCACCACCTTATAGTAGGTTTGATCAGGTGGCGGGGGAGGCTGCGCTGGGAACACCTAGCAGACAATGCGAGATCTTAAATGCCCACATTTGGCTGAGCTTCAACACTATTCCAAGAGAGACTGGGGACATTGAGTCTGAATGGACCATGTTCAGCACCTCGATTGCTGGAGCTACTCCATTGAGCTGCAGCCGCAGGGTGGTTGGTGCCTGTCTTGGTGAAAACCCCCAAACCAGATGGTGGACAGCAGAGGTGAAGGGAACCATCATGCTCCAACCAGAGGGGGATCACACTCTTCAGCCTACAGCCAAAGTCTGGAAAGGAGAGTCCATCTGTTAGTCAAACCTCGGTTGACTAACAGATGGAGGAACAATGCAGTTTTCATCTCGGCCGTGGAACACTGGACCAGCTCTTTGTCCTCTCGAGGATACTTGATGGTTCATGGGAGTTTGCCCAACAAGTCTACTTGTGTTTTGTGGACTTGGAGAAGGCATTCGACCATGTCCCTCAGGGCGGCTGGCCTCTCCCTTAGAGACAGGGTGAGGAATTCAGCCATCTGGGTAGTGCTCAGAGTAGAGCCGCTGCTACTCTGCATCGAAAGGAGCCATGTCAAAGGATGCCTCCTGGGCGCCTCCTGGGTGAGGTGTACTGGGCATGTCTCAGTGGGAAGAGGCCCGGGGCAGACCCAGGACACGCTGACAGATTTTATCTCTCGGCTGGCCTGGGAACACCTTGGTGTTAACCCGGACAAGCTAGAGGAGGTGGCCGGGGAGAGAGAGATGTCTGGGCTTCTCTGTTCAGGCTGCTGCCCCTGCAACCCAGCCCCGGATAAGCAGAAGAAAACGTACGGAGGGATGGATGAAGTTTGTTTGATTTAAACAACACCAAGTCAAATCATAAATGATTTTTGTTGATTTGTTTATTTTTGATAAAGTGATGTAAGATGCGATGCTAAGATTTTAAACGTCTTAAAGAATTTTAAAAGGTATGCCTTTAAGCTAATTTTTGTATAAAAACAACATTATGCTCTCTTAAACTGAAACGTGTGGGTTTATATGTTAGGTGAAGGTTAAGTCGACCATTTTTTTTCTTTTGGTGTGAAAACATGATTTCTCAATTATCAGAATAGTTACTAATTAACTTGACAATTCAAATTACGTGTCACAGATTGACTCATTTTTTAAATTCTAGTCACTGTATATTAGGAAACCCATCTAAACTTTGACAAAGTAACTAAGTAATTATTTGACTCACCCTCCCACTGGACCCGTAGAAGGCACGTTGGAGCACAGACCCCAGCTTGCTGCAGATACAGAAAACTTTGAATGAATTATATATACACACACATGTAATAATCAAGACATAAACTACAGCGATCAAAGAAACTCCCCAGTCTGTGGTCTGGACTAAAAGTCAAGACTTTAGCCTTTGAAAATGTCTTTAAAAAAAAATCACTGCAGTGTTTATTTCTATTTCCAACTCTTACATCAAATTAGTTTCATGCTTCAGATTAATTTGGATTAGCGCTATCATCTGGCACTTTAAAATGCGAGACAGTATGTGTGCATACAGCCTTCATCACTCTCCAGGTGATTTTGGGAAACTGGTGTTGGAGGCATCACAGAGAGCACAGCATGATAATCAGGAGAAACTGGCTGTAAAGCCACAGGCCCACCCACCTCAATAACACTGGTGGGTGTCTTGCTCTGTGGACTGTGGCCAGAGTAGGGCACTCTCAACATACCTGGTTTGTTGGACTAATCCTGGGACCTTAGTAAAGATGTTCATGTCAGCTCTGCGAGGCTACAATAAAGCCCCTTAAATATGGCCAGCTGAGGTGAGCGGACGAGTGCTAGAAATCTCAAAACATTTCTGTAACAGTCGTTGGGGCCCTTGTGCCATTGATATGCTAAACCCATGTTGTCTCCTTTTTCCACAGCAACCACACGCAGTGCACTAAAAAACAACAACAATATACAAATGCACATAGAGCGAGCAAGTGAAGCAGATGCGCGAACGCAAACACAACGAGCAGAGAGCACAGCTTCAGCACCCAAACATAAAGTGAGAGTGCAGTGCCAACAGTTTTAGTTTTGAACATTTCAGCATTTCTCAACAAAGCTCTGTAAACAAAGCATCTTATGATAATGGCTGTATTCATGCT